AATATTAACTTAGAATTTTAGGTTTTAATTTTTCCTTAATTTCTTTTTATTTATTCTTTTACATTTTAATTTCTAGGAAAATTGTATAGGTCACATTATCAATGTAATAGCGTAGATTTATCTATTCTCGCATTAAATTCGCCGCGTGCATTTTTTAATTTCTTTTTTATTATTATTGTAACTGCTCCGAGTTTGTAATAGTAATTAGGGTTTTAAATTCCGCATCTTTATTTTCAGTCCAAAATAATTATGTATCTGCAAAAGCCTTGTAATAGCTAGGACTTTAAACTTTCCACATTTTATTTTCGCAAACTATAAACTGCTTAGATGTATGTTAATAGGATTGTATGGAAAGACTAACTGAAAATTAACCCGGTAGAAAACTCTAATTGCAAGATAAATAACAGAATTAAATCATTTGCACACTTGCACCCTTAGGGTATACCTCACTTGGTTGCCTCGGAAAACAATGGTCATGTCCCTCGAACGTAGGGATACCCTTAGCAAAAGACCCTCAATCTAAAAGTCATCATAAAGATCATAGTCCCTTAATGTCCCTCGAGTTGCCTACGAGAAATGATCTTGTCCCTCGATGTTGCCTATGGATATATGATGACAGTCCCTTCGAAATGCTAAGGTATCCCTACATGTTGTCTTCAATGACCATAAATGTCCCTTTCGATAGTCCCTCAAACATACAACGACTAGGGTTACCTACTCACTAATAGTAGGATAACACGGTCTAAAGGATAGGAGGAAAAGAACACCTTTTTTCGAGTAGGTAGATAACTGTTAGGTACTTGCTCAAAACAACAAACTTTTTTTCACACAAACACTTTCCAAACAAAGTTTTCAAAAACAAATTCGTAACACTCTTAAGGACAGAAACAAGGATTAAAATGAAGTAAAACAAAACTTTTAAAAAACACAAACACACGAGCAATTTTCAAAAATGAGCAAGTACCTAAGAGCCCATGGAAAACCATGGATGGAAAGGGTTCTAACACCTTCCCTTTCTATAATCTACCCCCCCCCCCCCCCCCCCCCCCCCCCCCGTACTCAGAAACATCTCGAAAAAGGATTTTTCTGTTCTTTTTTCTTTTCCTTTGTTGAATAAAATAAAAGTCGGTGGTGACTCTTGCTTACCACGACATTTTGCAAACAAAAAACGCAAACCAGTATTAAACAGTCGGTTCTGCCACTGTATCACATAACTGGCGACTCTGCTATGGAATTATAAGTGGGGTATACCTTAGGATCTAGGTCATCATAATTGCTTCTCTTGATTGCTTTGTTTGATTTACTTTTAAGGGTTTTGTTTGGGGTTACTATAGATCCTACACCCAGATCTGGGGAATACCTTTTAGGTAAGTAGCAATAGACTATGAGGGAAATGTACGGCGTATACCGATACGGTTGAAGCAGTAGCTACATTGGTGTGGCACTTTGGTTGGTACCCGGTATCCCTTGTGGAGAAACAAGGAGAATACGGGGCCGCTGCGTGGTGTCATTAAGCATCAACTGACCTTAGAACCTTTAATCGCCTAAATTGGCCATTAGAAAGTAGTGAGATAGCCGACCTCGGTATAGAGCTGAGAACTGGTTGATACTCGATGCTACACTCATTAAGACCATACTCTCAGAATAATTTCGGCCGTAATAAAAGATTGTGTGAGCTGAAACCATGACCGATGAAGGATGGTCAGTGATATTGAGATCCTCTAGAACCCGGTTACTTTTCTAGGACAGGTTTGAAACCAACTAAAATTCAAGAGGGTACTACCTTAAAACCCATGCAAGCCTAAACCTAAGGTTGTTTGTGTGACTTGTGTGCTTTCAACTTGAACTACTTGCACAGTTTTATTATCTGATAACATGAGTTCCTTGCAGGTTTTGTTTACAGTCCTTATCTAATAACTTGGATTTCTTGCCAGGTTTACTTACTTACATCACCTTGCACTTTTGCTTAAACGCATAGCATACACATCATAACATCATACCATAGCATTTCCTTAACCATTTCAAGGATCTCAAGAGCTTGTGGTGCAAGTTATGATGAACCAAATGTCTAGCAAGGGGAAAGGGATTTATTTTCCTCTAGCCAATACCTTATAGAGATCAAAACACGATAACTTGAGTCAGTGGCTATGACCCACTCACTACAAGAAAAATGATAGATTGGGACGGTTATTTTGGTTGATTACGACGGTTAAAACCGTCGCAATTTACAATCTACGACGGTAGAAGTACCGTCGCAGAATCGTGCGTCCCCAGCCTATTTCGCGACGGTTGCAAAAACTGTCACGCACAACAGATAGCGACGGTTATATACCGTCGTGAATTTGACTTTATTTTTTGTTTTTGTTGTTGTTTGCGACGGTTACTCTACCGTCGTAGGTTAGAAATTGCGGCGGTTTTAACCGTCGTAATCTGATTTATAAATTTCAAATAATATTTTTATTTAAATTATTATTTAGTAAAATAATTTTAAATATAATATTATTTTACTATAATATTTTACTATTATATTTAAATTATTATTTACTTTAATATTTTTTTATTTATAGTATTTTTATTTTATTTTCTATCACTTTTCAACATAATAAAGTTAATTACAATAAAAACATTTAATATCAAATAATCATCAATAATATCAAAAAAATGTGATCAAAGGTAAAAAGAAGTGCAAATTTTACCAATAAACAAGAAAAATTCAAATATCATCAAAGGCCAAATTTCATTTTAATATTTACATTGGTTTGCTACAACTTGAGAGAATTACAAAAAATGTTACAATATTCTACAAAATTACATAGATTCAGTCAATCACATAGATTCAAGTCAATTTAAATATCCACTTCACAAACCTAATCCCTCACATAACAATTTCTAACAACTTTAAGCTAACAGTTATCCATTTCAATTGATATTCCTAACAGTCAGGCCCTAATAATATTGACGATTTTAACTCTTTTTCACACTAACAATTAGCTAACTCAAATTACAATCAGCAACTAACTCTCAGTTTCATTCAAATCTAAAGCCATCCCATCCTAATAGCCAACTATACACAACCTCTCTACAATATTCTACACAGCTTCGTCAACCTTCATCATCAATGGCATCATCGCGACTTCAAGCTTGAAGCATTCCCTCTATTTCAACACCAATCACAACAACAAACTTCAATAATTGAATTGTACCGAATCAATAGAAAATACGTGTGAATCGGAAATAATAGAAGAATGAGGAATTAAGAATGCATACCTGAATCACGATTGAAGCGTTGGCGGAGTGACTCCGACGTGTAAGTATTCTTTCTTCTCTCATCATTTTTGTGATGAACTCCACTAATCAAATTAACCTCATTGAAGAAATGATCCACCCATTGCGTCGAGTTAAAACTAAGCCTTTTAACAGCCACAGTATTACCATCTGGCATAACTCCCTAAAATGAAAGGAAAAATCTATAAGCACTTAACAACAATAAGGTTGTAAGAAGTTACAATAAGATAAGATCAGAATATACTTTATAAACTGAACCTGATCCTCCTTGTCCTAGCTTATTGTCATCATTGAAGTAATTTGTTGCTTTTTCAAGAATTTCATATGGAACATTTAGCTTGGATTTATTCACTGTATCCAAAAGTGTCCCAAATTGTTTTCTCTCTAGTAAAAAAACACACACACATAGCAATAACTTTTAGCACAAGTATTTTGGAAAAAAGTAATTCCAGTCTTTAAATATTAAACATGTGTACCTCTTCTTTTCCTCATTACATTCTTTCTTATAAAGAAACCCATTGTTGCAGTAACCAAAAGAAGAGCCAAGACAGCAGAAGATGCAACCAATATTATAGCCATTTTTCGGTGTCCTAAAACACAGTTTCAAGCTTCAATCATGTTCTTATCATAATACTGACCATGGTTATAAATTGCGGTCCGCAACGCAATTGCGGCTGTAATATTGCTAATGCAGTAGCTTCCACAACCGTATTGGACTGCAATTGCAGTGTGATTTAAAACCACGCGTCCGACTATATTATGAACCGCATCTAACAATGTCGCTCAAGTTTTATCACAAAATGTCGCATCTTCACTTTCTTCTTTTTTCTTCTTTTTATCTTTACCCTCTTCCGCCTAAATGTGAAGAATCGTCAACATAGAATTTCACTAGATAAAATGTAGGTAAGCCAACAATGTAAATCAAACAAGAAAATATTTCCTGCTAAAACTAATGAGTTAACCCTGCCTTGTTAACAAGAAAAAATAAAGGAAAGAATTGTAGGCATAGGTTCTCTACCAGGAACTTTTTCTCTAGTTCTTCAAAGAATGCCAGTTTTTTCGCATCTGCCACACAAATATCTTAATCAGTATAAAGTAAAAATAACAAGGCTTCATCATTATTATGAGTAAAACAGAGATTCATATCATAACTAGACTAACATTTACAGATAATTAATAGATTGATAAAATAAAAAGAAAAAGTTCATAAGAAATCACCAGCTTCAGGGTTCCATCGAAACTTTTTCCGGCTCAGCATCTGCTTAGATTTACCTGAAATCAACTTTCGGACTAAATTACTTGTTACCAGGAACCGCAAATGCATAACGAAAAGTAGAAGCATTTTTCTACAATAAAATAAAAACACAACCACTGCCTTAAAAGCCTATCCCATTATTCACACCTGGAACCAACTCCTTAACAAATTCGTCGTAATATAAAACCTGAGACAGCGAATCACGAGTGAACGCGATCTTCTTCTTGTCAGAAAATCTTTCTACGTGCATCCTTTTGCGCCCTGACAATGAAACAATATGTATTGGAAATCTCAGATTTTGTAATGACAATCTGCCAATATGTATCATGTAAAGGCAATTGAATTCGAACCTTTTGATTCGGTGTCGTCCAAGAGATTCGGTGCAGTGGTAGAAAGAAAGCTTACTACTACATGCTGAAATGAGGTTGAGGTTGTGAACATTGATTGTGAAGGGACTTAGTCAGGTTTCAACATGAACACGGGTTCTGATAGGCTTTAGCTTAATTCCTAAACTTTCTTGAGAGAGGAGTTCTGGTGACATGATTGAATGATTAGAGGGGCTTGCTGGACTTGAACCGTTGCTTGATGAGGAAGCAAAATGTGGTTGTCTGTGGAAGCCAAAACCCATTAAGAAACACTCAATTGGTACTATCATGGAGTTTGGGTGTTCTTCTGTTACTAGTGAGCCACAAGCCTCAACCTGATCAAGTGAGGTTTGTAAAGCAATTGTGTTATGTTTATGTGTTATTTGAGTATCTTATGTAATTTCATATTTAATGGACATGGATTACGACGGTACCTCAACAAGTGCACAGATTTTGCTGTCCATTTTTGTACTCATGTGAATAGACTCGGCATGGAATGGACTACTCTCTCCTGCAAATATAAGTGTCTTGCATTGCAAGTTCTTTAGTCCCTCACTGAGGTCGCGCCTTCTGCAAGTATTTCAACATTTTGGTAATGAATCATGGGAACAAATGATCATAAGTAAGTTGCTAAAGTTTTAAATTTTCCACATTTTATTGGCATCATCCCTTTGTCATCTTTGTATATTTTATGTCATTTTAGTCCACTCCCAAAATCAAACAAGTTCATAATCCACAAGCTAGAATTTGGTCCACTCATACAATAATAAGAGTCAACTGTGTGCAATAATAACTATTATAAGAGGCATTCTAAGTATAGAAAAGAATTTTCAAACAAGACAGAAAACGTTAACATCAAATATCTTGAGAATATTTAAGTTGTTATCAATAATTAACCATGAGAACAATTGATAATTAAGTTCCTTAAGTTTTAAATCTTCATTGCCATTATCCAAGTTGCATTATCTCTGTTTGTTGTCTTTTTACATTTCATGCCATATTAGTCCGCCCAAAATCCATATCAAGTCCATAGCCACAAGTTAGAATTTGGTTTCACTTATAAAATAATGCGCTTATAAGTGTAGAAAGAATTTGCAACACAAATGCCGCAATTAGACAACTAGGGGCAGGACAAAAATGTCCAACTAGTCAACTAGAGGTTGGAATGAAGGCAAGCCAAATGTCGCAATTAGACTAGGGCGAACCACAATAAAGGTGGAATATCCAAAACACCCCCTCGTGCTTGGGTCTCGATGAGAGGCTGAAACACGAATGATGCAGAAAGCCCAACAACATATCCAAAACATCTTATGAAATATGGTTGGACTTAACTCAATCTTACAAAATCGGCTTGTACGGCGAGGGTTGTCCCAACATATGTGATATCTCTAAGTAATATGAGACTAAATTCACCCCTTAAAAGCCGACACAATGTAGGTGTTGGAGGGTGCAATGAAAGCAACACACATGCCACAATTAGGTGACTTGGGGCGGACAACAAAGAAGGCGGAATTTCCAACAGTATGAATGTTGACATTGAATTCTCGAGAATATTGAGGTTACCATCAATAAAAACAGGATTGAGACAGTTACACTGTTGTATGAAATGGCTTAGATAGATTAAAAATTTGGAGGGAGGAGTGAAGTTTGTAAAAAACATCATTACTTACGCATTAACTGCTTGAAGAAAACGCATGACATTTAAACTTTGCCTTTCATCCAGAAGCTGCAATTATAGAACAGAAAAGAGAATCTTCAAATCAGAATTGTACACATACAAAATTATCCTAATTGCCAAGTTAATTAGGCATTTTCTGAGGAAAAAATAGAGTTTTACATACTCTTCGGCAAGTCAGTATTACTTCTGATTCTGATCCCTCAATACTGCATCTAAGCTCCTATAAAAGATGTAGAGAAGTAATGTCACCTCCAGAAATGATTCTACCTGCATAGTACCTGATAAAGAATGAGAAGAATACCTTACTGAAGTAACGTTGCAGGAGGCATTCCTTCAGTAAACCGCACATACCATAGAAGTACAATAAGTTCATCAAGACCTACATATATGTAGAAAACCTGTAAACATTCTATTTCAAGGGATCATTTTACAAGTTTTATATTGTTTTGTTGTATGCTAAAGGCGTTTAGAATCACAGTTAGATGGCTTTTAAAGTGCGGTCAACTAAACAGCTGCAGCTTCGAAGTCAACTCACAATGTTACTGTGGAAACAATGATTTTCAAACACACACGATAAATAGTTTGGCACATTACTACTTTCCTTGATATAGTTGTTGGAATTTCAATTTCAAAAGATAACTTATGATAAAAGCATGAAGGCTGAGAGGAAACCTTGTTGTAAATCCATTCAGTCCATGAAGGTCCTTTACAAATCGGTGAAACAAGAATCAATCCAAGCACTCGTTCTTTGTATTTCATCCACACAAAGCAAAGGTTCATCCGAAGAAATCACATCAGCTCCCAACTGCAATATCTCTTAAACAAATGAGAAAAAATTGATGTGAATTCAATGAAATTGAAGCTAGCATGTACAATAACACTAGAAAGAATCCGTATACTAACCTCATGCCCTGGAGCATCAATGTGATAAATACAGAAGTTACGAAGCATCAAAGAAGCTGCTTCTGGACAAAACAACAGACCCTGAAAACAAGACACATCTGCAAAAAAACACTCCATGATTTCAAAAACCATATCCATAGTGATTCAAAACACATAAACAAAGCACCAAACATCTAAAACTAACAATCTGGTGTTGAAATTCCCTCATACACATCAAAATCAAACCAAAATGAGCAACAAGTACAAAATCATACAATTGAGAGCCACATCTGGGTAAGTTATTAGAGCAGGTTTATCTCGATCCCCACAAAGTGAAATATCAAAGATGGAGAGGAAGATGATGAAGAGAATGGCAGAGAATGGCATCAGGTTTAAAACCCCTGTCAACCATGCGCTTAAGAAAGCGGAGAGCTCGATTGTACTTAGCTGATTTGAATGACCTAATGAGAGCTTCATCGTAATCTTGATCAAGTTTTGGCCTTGTTTCATTGACCCTGATTCTTGTTCTTCGGTTGTTGGTGTTGCCCGGGGTTGAGGAAGTGACGATAGTGTTGGGATTTGAACGGCGAGAAGTGCGGTTTGGGTGGTTTCTGAAATTGAGAGTGTGTGATAAGAATTCAGTTGAAAAGGTTGTCATTGATGATGATGATGATGTTATCGGTTGTTGTTGGAAGATTTATGGCTTGAGTTTGGACAAAATTCAGTATCATAGAATGGATAAGGGATGATACATATTTTATCCTAACCAAATATTATCCTAAAAAATCATTAAAAAAAATAAAACCCTAAAACAACAAATTAGAAAACCTAACATCAATTCAATATATTCAAACTCAAATGAAAGGTTTAAGGGTGCGACGGTTGTTTTACCGTCGTGAAATGAATTTTAGGACGGATAATTTTACCGTCGTGAAAGTTTTAAGGGTGCGACGGATGCTTTACCGTCGTGATATGCCTTTTAGGACGGTTAATTTTACCGTCGTGACTAGTTGTTGGTGAAAAATCAATGTTAAAAGTGTTAAATGGGGGCCGACGGTTGTTTTACCGTCGTAATAATAATATTATGATGGTTAAATATACCGTCGCAAAATAAATATTAGGGACGGTTGGTGTCAACTGTCGTAAACACTGTCTCTATATGTCAATTACGACAGTTATCACATAACTGTCGCAATTTTTGTGTCGTTAAACACTAATTTTCTTGTAGTGACTCGATATGGTGAGCTTGACTCATGAAGAAGGACTCTCAACGACACGAAGTTTCTTCAATCAAGCTGCAATCAAATTCTAACAGTTTCTTGTTTACCCCACGAGATCCTAGAAAACATTGCATACATATATCATACATATCATTGCATAACAGGTCTTCCAGTACAGGTCTCTCATGTTCTTGCTGTTTATTTCAGCAATGGCTCTCAAACAAGACAACAGAGATCTTCAAACTCAAGAAGCTCAATTCAAGGAAATATTCCTAAACCTATCCAAGGGGCGGGAAGAGTTGAAAACACCCCTCGTTAGGAACTTGGTCAAGAAAAGTCCTGAAGACAATAAGGACGAACAAATGGAACAACTGCAAACTGAGGTAGGTGCAATGAGAACCCATATGTTAGGGCAGATGGATCTTATCCAAGGCCTAGCTCGAAGACAAGAAGAGCTGAAAGCCATCATCAACCAACTTCATCAAGACAGATACAACAGTATGAAGCAAACAGTCGAGGCCGGGGACCAAGTCATTGATCAACCTCCAAGAAGACAAAAGGTTGGTTTGGTGAAGAGTGGACCTTTCCAAATTGCTACTAGATCACGGGTCCAACAATAACCTCGCCAAAAACAATAGGTTAATCAGATCAAGCCGGATATGCCCAAAAGGCAGTTTACCAAACTCAACATGTTGCTGTCTCAAGCTTTGCAACACCTGTTAAGGATGAATCTGATTACGTTGATAGGACCTCATCTGAATCCTAAGACTTCTTCCCCTAACTACAATCCTGATGCAAGGTGTGCATACCCTTCCAACAGCCCGGGGCATGATACTGATGATTGTTTGGGCATTGAAAAATAAAATTCAAGACCTGATTGATGAAGGTGCGCTAGAATTCACACAAGACGGTCAGGCTGAGTCCTTCTGCCATCCCTCCAAGGCATACCATCTGAAGTGACAAGTTCTCACAAGAAGACTTTTCGTTCATTAGAATTTTCAATGTGTAATTTTCTTTTGATTTATTTGAACATTTATTCATATCAAACCTCGTTATTTCATCAATGCATTGCACATGTTTGTCTTGAATCAATTCATTCGTATTCACTATTTCAAAAATGCTTTCTTATTTCCTTTTGTGATATTCAACTCTCGATTAAAAACTCAAAGCCTTAGAGGGAGGATGACGAAAATGTTACCACAATCTCTACAGTATGCTTTTGAACAGATCCCGCTGACGATGTACAGGCTTTGATTCAAATCCTAAATAGTGGAGTTATAAGGAAGATAATCCCTAGTCAACCCCTTCGAGCCAAAGAAGTAGGAGTTTTCTTTTCACACAAATTAAAACCCTTAATCATAACCTGGGGCAGGGTAGTTTCTCACTTAATTTAGATGTGCATTCAGTCGCAATATTCTACTTCATACATAATGAATGGCATCAAAGACGTCCTTCCAAAACAAAAGACACTGATGGTTCCATATAATCGTCAAGACAGGCAGTCATTATCTCTCAAAATAAAAGCCCATTAAGTCAAAACCTATGAAGGAGACTTAAGAGAAAAACTGGGGCATCCCGCTGACTGTAATCACAAAAGAAAAAATTCAGGCAAAAATTAGGGATAATGAAAACAAAAAAAAAAGACGTTACTACAAATCCTCGAAAAAAAGAAGATTACAAAAATGACTTCCTTTTCAAAACAAAAGTTCAATTTCTGAATCATCACCAAGTATCAGAGCAAAGATTCCAGACTCAATCAGGATCTAAACGCGCAATTAACTGAGCATAGGACTGAAGAACATCATGGAGAGCGGGTTGGGTACAAATAAAATTTGAGCCTTTGTCCTTTGTTTCTTGAACCGTGAACCAGGCCATGTTATAATCCTTAAAAGTCCTAGCTGAAGCATGGGTTAGTTTGATAGAATATTGTTACAAAGGTATCCCAACTCCTGTAGGCTTTGTTACAAATCCTGAGTTGATATCACATTCTCGCAAATTTCGCTTTACTACACAACACATTTTCAAAAAAAAATTCAAGACAGACATGAGTTTTGCATTCTTTAAATGACATTGTTTGCATATGACTAATTGTTTGACAACAGAGAAATCCGCACAATGGATATTCAATGAACAGATATCCTCTAAATGGACAGAATCACCTCAGCGGGAAAGACACTTCCAAAAACAGGTCTTCCATAAGCAAGGGGTATGACTTGATGTTTAAACACACCTGGGGCAGCCTATCCAAAAGTGCCAGATAGCCAGGGGCAGATCTCCATCTGAAACACTTGGGGCATTAGGAATGAATCCCAACAACGAATCATGTATGATCAAACAAACATCTTCTGGTAGTGTGGCAACACTTACTATTATGGACAGTGACAACTCCCTACATCCTGAGAGCGTGGACATAGTCAGAAAATACTGCGCATGAACAAAGACCCGCTAGGTTGACTGGCCTAGGAAAAAATAAGGGCATCCCGACGAACCAAAAGGGTTCGGGCAAAAATTAGGGATAAAAACAAAAAAGATATGTACACCCGGCAAGTCGAAAACTGAAAAGGAGGCTTGGGCAAGAAAGGGTATCTCGGTGGACTGAAAATCTGAAAAGACATTCCAGGAAAAAGTTAGGGATTAAAGCGTACGATTATGTCCCGTTATCTTGTCACTTGCCTATCAGTAGAAGACTTATCATTCCGATCGGAAGTTACCAAGCACCTCATAAGTTGGGATGACACTCAATCCACAAGGCCTCCGCAGGCACTTTCTTCAGCAGGTACAAGGGCAGAAAAGTCTTGATGCAAAGTCATTATCATATCCTCAACATGCGTCCCAGTAACATCTACACTCCCCACAGAGTAGAGGCAACCAAAGTTTTGATCTCTGCCTCCCCAACAGGAGTTACTTTCCCCAGCCAAGCTCTTTCAGAAAGTCGACGTCTATATTCCCCAACTGAATTTTGTAATCGCAAGTGGTTCATAAAGTTTTCTCCCGAACAGAGTTTATTTCTCTAAATACAGAAGCTCAATCCCCGACAAAGTTTATCCCTTCAGCTATGGAAGCCTCTCTCTCCAACAGAATTATTCCCCCGCAGAGTTGTTCTCAAGCAGAGTCTCTCCTCGGCAGAATACCCGTAAACAAGAGGCAAATCCCAGGCATAGTCGTCTCTGGTTCACCATCTCCAGTAGAAGTAAAAGAACCACTTTCTATACGACGGTCATGAACTCAATTTCCATTACTCTCCAAC